TGGATTTATTTTTGTTTGTCTTTAGGCTGCATGAAGAAGAGAGAACCTTGAAAGCATTGTCTTCAGCAAAGACTTCTCAAAGTATAATGAGTGAAGAATCCCAGACACAAGAAGCTGTCCATAAAGCACAAGTATTTGCTGAAGCACCTTGCATGGGAAGTGAAGAAAGAACTCTGATAGAGAAGATGTTTGGAGGAAAATTGAAGACAACTATATGCTGTTTGAACTGCAGAAGTATGTCTCAGAAGGAAGAAGCTTTCACAGATCTCTCTCTGGCTTTCTGTCCTCCAACATTTTTGGAGAGTGTTAGCCCAAAATATAGGGAACATTCTGAAGTGAAAGATGATTACATGGTGCCAGCTAATACTTCATCTCAGTAATTTGGAAGTACATGGTGGATGTGACACAGTAATGAATGAAGGAACCATAAAGGATTTTTCTACTGAGCCAAACTCTGACAGTACCACAAATTCTGAACTCAACAAAGTTCAAGATAATAGGGATATGTCTCAGAGGCTTGTAGGTAAAACCCCCCTGTCAGTCACAGACTTACTGAATTATTTCCTGGCACCTGAGATCCTGAGTGGAGACAATAAGTATTATTGTGAAAAGTGTGCCTCTCTACAGAATGCTGAGAAAACTATGCAAATAATTGAGGAACCTGAATACCTCATTCTCACTCTTTTGAGATTTTCTTATGATCCAAAGTGTCATATAAGGCGCAAAATCTTGGACAATGTGTCTCTGCCTCTTGTTTTGAAACTGCCAGTCAAACGAGCAGCATGCTCTCGAGCTATAGTTTCAGGAGATTGTTCTGTTGGTGTTGAGATTTCTGATACTGGAGAAAATCTTGCTAAAAAACTGAAGCCCTCAGGTGCTGATGAAGTGACCTGCCCACAATTGGTGCCCTATGTGTTAAGCTCTGTCGTGGTGCACTCTGGTGTATCCTCTGAAAGTGGACATTATTATTCATATGCTAGAAATGTTACTGGGTCAGAGCCTTCAGGTGTCTGCCACCAGTCTGCAGCTCTTTCTTTAGTTTCTCCTCAAGATAAATTGTTGACAGAGGAGAATCCTTGTACTGTTGTAGAAAGTGAGCTGGACACTGAGATGCCAAAAGAATGGTTTCTCTTCAATGACAGCAGAGTGACATTTACCTCATTTCAGTCAGTCCAGAAAATTACCAGTAGATTTCCAAAGGACACTGCTTATGTTCTGTTTTACAAAAAACAAAATAGTACCTGTTGCTTCAACACCAGTTCGGCAAATGGACTCTGGGTAAATGGAGACCCTCCTCTACAAAAAGATCTCATGGATGCAATTACGAAAGATAACAAACTGTACCTGCAGGTAAGACAGATATTGTATAGGAAAGGTGGTGTCCTTAACATTTACAAGAGACAGCATAAAAGAAAGAAAAAGTTAGCTTTTAAACATTCTGTTATGTTAACCATATAAATCACTAATCTCACTTCCATCTTGATGTTGCTAGACAGGTGTCATAGAAAGGTTGTCATTGTTAGGTGGGAAGAGTTAAGGAAAGTGGCTTAAACTCATTGCATTTTAAATTTTCAGTGGAGATGCTCACATGGGTCATTTAACCACTTGTAATCCTATGCAGGAGAGGCTTTTTCAAACGGTTCTGATTTTCATTGCCTTTAATTAATTACCAGAGTAGCTAATTTAGCAGTTGTCTTACTAGTGCATTTTTATCTGGAGTGAAGTTTTATTTATACAACTGTGCATACCCAAGTACTGGAACCAATAAAATGAAGACCAGATGGTAATGACTAGATTCCACTTTTCCTTTCTGCCTGCTTTCCCTGGCTCATCTGTGTAGGACTTCAAGTGTGCTGCAGCATACCCAGCATGTCTCAGAGCAACAGGCTGAGAGCCCTCACTTAGCACCCCGTCCTTCTAACCTCATCCCGGGCAAACCTGATGATATCCTGCTCCCCCTTAGAGTGTGTTTTAAAGCTTTGTCAGTGAGCCTTGGTGGCTTATGAGCAAAGACCCTCTTCCTGCTTTGAGAGGGGTGAACCCTATCTGACACCAGCAAGTCTGGTGCTGTGTAGGTCATTCTATTATTAAATAATCCCAAATTTTGGTGACACCAGTCGTGGAGCCATATATTAACAGACTGGGTCCATCTGTTTCTTCTGTTGTTGCTGCCCACAACTGGAAGGAGAGAGGAAAAAATAATCTATGACCCAGATCCTCAAACCAGTCATGCCAAGGCCCTGAAGTCTCTTTTGATTGCCCTTGAACTATGTGTTGCAGCTTCTTGCCACCCACATAGATAAGTAATGGGCAATAGTCTGAGGGGTTCACCAGGCTTGGAAGTTTCCTGGTGATGTCATTAAACTGAGCCCCAGGAAGGCATCTGACTTTTCTAAGAGGAGGGTCTGTCTAGCATATTGGACCTTTGGTTCCCCTCAAAAGGGAGTCACTTAAACTATAACTGGTCTTTTCCTCCTGATAGAGGTAACTCTGGTATGAGTGGGTAGCTTTTCTGACCTTAGCAGCACCTCTGGTGTGGATGGACCATAATTCATTGACTGGCCTTCCACATCCAGAGCCTCATACCTGTTATACCTGGGAAGGCAAGGTGAGCAAGGAGGGGGTTTGCTGCTATCTCGAGTGTAGTCTTGCCTCCAAGATAATGTCCTGTTTTCAGTCAGAATTGCTGTGACTTCCATTGATGCAGGTATGCCTCAATTGTGACATTTCAAACTTGAAATCAGATTATTTTTTATTTTAGGTTTATAATTACAGTAGCATCTAGGTAATTGAGTAGTGGAAAAAAAAAAAGGGGTTTACAAACACAGCCTGAAGAAAACTAGTACAGCTCCTACAGTGATATTGTCACCTTTTTTTGTGTGAAGCCAAACACTTAAAGGAGGGACACTGCAATCCACATAGACTATAAATCCTATAACTAATCTTACTAGTGTGTAATCTTAATCGTGTGTTTTCGTGTTGAATCCAGTGCTTGCAGTCAAACGTATTTCAGTGTTAGGCAATCACCTATCCTGTTGCTGAATATTCATAACAGAGACGTTTTTCAAATCTGAAGAGATGGAACAAGCAACATTATCAGGATACTTAGAAAATAATTTGTTAAATAATGGAATTATTCTTAAATAGTAATTCAGATAAATGTATTTTCAAGACTTATTTTTATGCAATTTCTGGAATACACTAATGAGTTACTTATTTTAAGCATTTTGAATACTCATGTACACCTAGGACCAGTGAAAAATGAATATGATTTTATGGAAGTTAGTCACTTCGTGCATATGCACAAAAAATTGCTTTTTGATAATCTTCCAGACTAAAGCTTTCTCTACAAAACATGTAGTAGTAAAGCACGCAGTGCTCTTAGCCTACAAGTGAAAATCGGGTTAGTAGCTTCTGGAAAACCATTCCTTTACAGTTAAGAAATATTTTCCAAATATGTAGGTTTTGTTTGGGTTTAAGTTTTTTGTTGCGTTTTTGTTTGGGTTGTTTTGGTTTTTTTTAAACCCATCTTTCAATTTTGGATTCTTCAGCACTGGCTTTCTTTGTAGAGCTCTACTAATCTCAGAGTTGTTGAGATCCCTTCCTCAGTTTTAATGAGGCTTATTAGAAATGCTCAGTTATTCTTTTTATCAAATTAATGTTGTGATTCACTGGATTAAGTTATTGTATTTTTGAGAAATTGCATTTCATTGTTGTTCAGAGTTCTAAACTGGTATTTTACTGCTAAGTTAAGAATATACTTTTCTGACCTGAAAAAGCCTTTACTTTTTAGAAGAAACATTCAAAAAAAGCTATAGCTTACTGCTTTTGGTTTACTATTGCATACCAGTTTACCACATGGTAAACTAAATTTTTTTTCACTTTAAATAACAAAACCTGCAGTATGGGTAGCTCCCACTCCAGTTAAATTAAAAATCCCATTCTGGTATCAAGTAGAAGGCAGGAAGTAGAAGGCTCTGCATTACTCAGTCTAGAGAACTGAACTGACACAAACTTCTACTTAGCTGACTTAGTATTTGTTCAGATAAATATAATCGTCCTGAAAACATTTTTTTGTTTTTCTAGAAACAAGGATCTTTCTTGCAGAAATGCCAGGGCTGTATGCTATGCTAGAACAATTTAATGTCATGTAATATTAAGTCAATGTGTGCTTTGAGAAAAGTAAGAAATGTGCTCATTTGGCACAAACTACTGAACAGGAATAAAACGTGAAAGATTTAAACTGCTAAATAATTTCACTTTTAGCACTGAAGACAGAGTGTGTGGTTTTTAATCCTAATATTCTTGTCAAGAAATGTTAATAATTGGCAATTTGATACTCCAATAATTCTCGTGTGTGTGTGCGTATATAGAGATATACCTTCTATCCATTATAGAAAATGTTCTGTAAGATCAGCGCTGTTGCTTACTGAAGAGAATTTCTACGTGGCTGACAAAAGCTGTGCGTGCAGCGAGTTTACGCTGTGTACCAAATATGCTGCATGTGTCCAGAGCCAAGAGAGTCAGAGTAATCCCTTGCACATAAGTCATGCTCAGTAGTAGTGCTTCTCTCTGCTAGTCCCTTATGTAAAGAAGCCTAGTGGCAGTAGAACAGTCATACTCTTGATCATGGTATGGTGAAAGATACCTAAGGTACTTGAACTGTATAGCTATGCTATAACCTCATGCTATCCAGTAACTGCAATAAGGCAAATTAAAATAAATAGTATTTCTGTCTAAATATATCAAGAAAAATCTCAGATTTAAGACCCTGGTATTCTTTTTGTCTATAGTTTTAAGACTTTTCTTTAATATAGCATAATCCACAAACCTGTTATTGATAATTATATTCTTTCACAGTACATTTTGTTAAGTAAAACTCAACTACTGGGGTTCATCAGGTATAAAGTTGCCAGAAAATAGTTCTCTGGAGAGCTGAAAGTGGAGGAGGGAGTAATGAGAGCTCCACTTTTGTTTTGGTACTACACTACAGTAAGACTTTCTGAAATATTTTACCAAAAAAAGAAAAACCAGCCCAGGTACAGTATAGCAAGTTTCCAAATACTTGGTTTTGAGAAGAAATTCTGTTCTAAGCTAAACAGTTTTGCAGTGTAGTTTTTCAAAAGAACAGGCTATTTATAAAAAAGCCTGGTATTTAAATCAAAGTTTTCTGTTCATTTCTCGTACAAGCGAGTTCTTTGTGTTCCCTTATTATTCCTAGTAAGTGTCCTTAGGTTTTGATGTGTTTTATAGTTAGCAGATAGGTAAGAATCCACATATTGCATAACACTTCTTCCAGGATTATGGCCAGCATGTCTGTGTAGATAACGTCCTCCAAATATCTTTTATATCGTTTTGGAAATGAGTATGTATTTCAGTCCTTATTAGTGTAAAATAGTTTCAAACTTAGGCTGTGTTTTTCTAAGAGTCAGAGTAATTTAAACCCACAGGTACTATTTTTAGCACCTGTGAAAGTACATGGACAATGCTTAGTGCTTTCATGGTAGTATAATACAGTCTTCCAGGTTCTTGGCTCTGTTTCTTGCTTTCACCAGGGAGTGGAGAAGGAACAAGTCAAGGTGACCCATGTTAATTACTAAAAACCCTGTTAAAATTTCCTTCTATTGCCTTTAGGGGAGGTATGTAGTGACAATGTGTCATGTGAAGGAGGCTACCACTACGAGCCTTACCACCTTAATACTTTGTTTCCTAAAGCAGCAGATCTGCTGTCTTTCTCTTGTCAGTCCAGAGCCCAACACTTATCTTCCCTCCCTCCGTTTTTGAAGCTCCTGGTGAATTTGAGGAAGGGATACTATAGACAAGACATGGCCGCAAGGTTTATGAAACTAGTTGGCCAGAGACAAAATAGTGTATGGTATCTCTAATGAGAGAAGGCCTTGGCTCATCCCCTTCTTAGATGTCTAAGAAGCCACAGGGGCATTCAGCAGAAAAAGCAGCTGGCCAAGACACTATGCTTTCATGTTCCTGCTACTTGTGCAGGTACATCTTCCAGCCGCTGACCCTGATTTTACAGAGCGCTTGAGAGTTCCTGAGACTAATAATGAAACAGAATTAGCTCAGCAATAACACTTGGAAGTTAAAAAGCTGCACTGAAAGGAAATTTAATAGCTTTTCCGTCCTTCTGCCTTTTGTCTGAGTATGTTGTTTTAATATATGCAGCTGAGTAAAGGTGTCTTAATTAACACTTTTTAATGGTCTTACCTTTTTATTTGGCAACCAAGAACAAGGGTGTCTTAAAATTACTAGGCTGAAAGTTCATGTGAAACATATATAAAAAACTAATGTTTTGTTAGCTTTTGATGAGCAGTCTAATTCTTTATTAACATCACATGTTGGTATAAAATATTATTTGGGCATAAATGTATTTAATTATGATTCATGTATGCTTACTGATGTTCAACGAAATGGTACATCTCTGGCTGTGGATGTTCAACTTGGAAGTTCAACAAAGCCATGCAGACTTAGGACTCCAGAAGGTAGTGATGTTGCTTTAAAACCTGCTTCAAAATTTACTAGGAAAAAATTCTGCTTCAGAGACTTGCAGTTGTTGGTTTTATTAAACTGTCTTTTCTTTTCAGGAGCAAGAGCTTAGTGCTCGAACACAAGCACTTCAAGCTGCCTCAGCCTCATGCTCTTTCCGACCCAATGGATTTGATGACAATGATCCCCCTGGAAGTTGTGGACCGACAGGAGGAGGAGGAGGGGGTGGGTTCAGTACCATTGGTAGATTAGTCTTTTGACCAAGAAGACAACCTGGAATACACTGGTTCCAAAGCAGCCCAGTACTGCTGAGGACAGCTAAAATACTGAACTTTGACAGATATTGTATCAACTTCTGAGACTTGATCTTTGTTCAAAAGCAAATGTTGGGGCTTTTTTGGTTATGTTTTATTTGAAATAAATAAGCGCATAATGGAAAAAAACTACCTCTTAAAAATTCAGTTGCTTTTCTAGTAAGATACGCTTGCCCGAAAGACAGAAAATGGAGATTTTGAAGTAGTTGCTAATGACACTGCATTAAGCTCAACAAATGCACTTACATCAGTTTCTATTGTACTCATCCACTGAATGAAGAAAGTTCCTTTTTCTTTTTTTTTTTCACTCTGATGGTGTTGCTCTGTCTGGAAATCCTTTCAGATGGGCTAAACTGCATACATAGTCTCTCACCCCCACCTTATGTCCAAATCCAGTACCTTTATGGATTTCCAGAGATGATGCAAATTAGAATGAAGGCAATAACTTAACTGACATAATACAGGACTTTCCAGATTAAAAATTATTCAATATATTTCCTGTGTAAATATAAAGAAGAAAAAAAATTTATAAATATTTGCTAAGTTGTTTTCCAAAAAAGTGCATGTTCTGCTGGAACAATGTTTTTAAATAGAAATTGTTAACTTTGTAGCATTTCTAATTGTTTTAAAGTTTTTAAGATTATTTCAGGGATATATCTGCTGTGTAATGGAAAGGAAGAGATTCTGTATGTGCCTTGCAGTTCTGTAACTTAAACTTTCTGAGGCTGCAGAAAAGGGGAAAAATGTGTTAGTAGTCAATTATTTTGGTCAGTATTAGAAATCACTGCATTTATAGAAAGCTACTAGGTTTCCAGAAGTAAAAATCTGGTACTTTGAAATGCAGTAAGTGTCTTGCCCTTTATTTTTTGATTAAAAAAAAAATAAATACATGCCTAGTGATCTTTAACTTTTGTGGCCTGCATTGCTAAGAAGCTAAGAATAAATACTGAGATATGTTTGTGTAATCACAGAGAGGCTACCTGTATTGATCCTTGCTGAGGATGTTTGTTTCTAAGAGGCCTTCTGATTTTGCTTGTAGTGGGAAATTTTCTGGTGAGTTCAGGTTTCAACTGTCTGCAGAAGACCAATGTGACGCTGCCTGTGGAGCAGTGGTTGCTTGCTTGTTAGGCCAGCAGAGGCTGAGGCAAGTTTGGTTTTGATCAGCAATGAGGGTAACAGAAGTGAAGGAGTTACACTGTTGAATCTAGTGATTAATTCTTAACTTGAATAATCTTATAGTGAAGTGTAAATTTATTTAAAGTATTTTTACAAAATTCTGCACTGGTGTAGTGTGTTATTATATTCTACTAGATGACAAAGCGCATCCTTAAAAAGCATGCAAACCTGGCAGGTGTTGGCTTTACTGTACAAAATAAACAGATTTCCTAGACATTTACTTTAAAAAGCATAAATTAAGTTGAGAAAACGAAACCTTGTTCATATGATATCAAATATATGAAGTTTAGTCTGAAAGGTAGGTAACTTAGCTTGCAAGCTATTTTTATATTATCACTAAAACTGTGATATTTGCTTTGATGTTCATATGTTAACTGCTCAAGAAAGCTAGAGCAGCTGGCTTTAATTTTTTATTAGTTTGTAAACTTTGTTTTGACTGTCTGTAGTACCTCAGCTTTGACTTATGCTTCATTGCTAAAGCAGTTGTAGGTCTCTGAACCAGGGGTTCATCTGTGGAAATGTGGAATGTTATGAGACTAGTGTGAGGAGCGTTCTCATTTTGTTCTATTTAGACAAGGTTTTCTTGAAAGCTCACTTCACCTTGAAATTCTCTGACTTTCAGTCTAAAATAATTTTTTATTTCCTTTTAGGTTTCTCTGCCAGATAGCTCTGGTTTTAAAATGTTTTGTATGACAGGTTAATTAGGCTTTTCTCTCTGAAAAGATGAGGACACAGTAAAAAACTGTCTGCATTACAATGGGAGTATTTTGTCTCTGGATCAATTTACTGTTCATTTTAAAAGACTAGAAAGTAGAAGCAGGGGCAAGTGTTTTTACTCTTTATGAAGTCATAATTTTGTAAAGGTCAGTTTTCCTTTCATGTTCTCACAAAATACAAATTATGTAGTATGATTTTCATACACCTATTGTACTATATTTATTTCATGAGCTCTTAGAAGGCTTTCTACACTCAGTTTGTTATAAAATAGGTGTTCGATACGGAAATTCTATGAAAGTAGTGCCAATAGAGTTGCATCTCCTTAGGTATGAAATGATGGTATGGCTCAGACTGAAACAACTTTCTTTCCCCTTGTTGACTTCTGTTGACACTGTTACTTTGGGTTTTACAAATAGATTTTAAAATTCGGAATACCAGTTTGCAAGTCTGCTTGTTGACCTGACAACCATCATAAGCCCAATTCATACCTAACTTGGAAGGTTTCAATAAAACTAGTGAAAGTGGTGAAGTATTTCATGCTCTAAAATGCACACATCTTTTTTACTTGTTTACAGTAATGATGTTGCATGCTCCTATCTTCTGGGCATAATATGAGAGAACAATACATTCAATTTCTGTTGCCTGTGAATGAATGCTGGATAGTTTGTTTAGTGGCCTTTTCACTTCCATTCTTGATTTGTTTTCTATGTAAGTTGAATCAGTATAAAGATACAAAATCCATAATACTGTTTTCTGAAGCTTAGAGGATTTTGTTGTCTCCTTTCATGAAGGGTACACTACTGTTCCAAACTCAAGAATGGTACATTTTTAAAAATCATATTTCCTTTTAACAAGACAGATTATGATTTGGTCTTTGTTCTAATGGTCAGTGGAATTGTATTAACTTCTTTCATACAGTTTATTTTGTACAGTTTTTTGATGGGGAGTATTACAGTGGATGGATGTGAATGTCACCCCCACAATACTTACAAGCCTCTTTATCCAGGATGAGGACAAAAAAAGGCTTATTCAGATAGCTCAACAAATTGCACCTTCTGACTAGCTCTTTCCTTCCTTATTTTCTGCCCTTATTCCTTACTCTGAAAAGTTAAATATATTATCTTCTGTATGCTCTGAAAACTTAGTTTTATGGGTATGCCTTTTTATATCTGTAGCAGCAAGGGTGCTTATGGTTTCAGAATACTACTTATTTTGTACAAATGACAGGTGAAGGGCAGAAGCAGTCTGAGCTAAAGGAGTCTTAGAACAAAAGCAAGTGGGTATAAAACTTCTGTAAATAAGATTTAGATTAAAAACAAAGTTCCTAATTACTAGAACTAATTCTGGCACAACCTTCCAAGCAGAGACCTGCTTTGAAGGCAGAGCCAAGTGTGTCTATGAAAGAAATTGAATGCAAAGCGGTGTCTGAATTGTAGGCAACTAGACTTGATAAACCAGAGGTCCTTTCTAGTCCTTTCCTTGAGTTTTGCTTTTCTGTTGGCCTCCACATCTTGACACATTGCCAGTTTGTAAGACTCAAAAACTCAAGTGTAAATGAAAAGAGTACTAAACTACAAAATAACAAAGGTTGACCACTCCTTTTGCATGGTGGTGGTTTCTGACTTAAGGGAATGAGGCATAAAAATTAGGTAATAGAAAATGGAAGCTAGGAAGATGTGATACAAAGAAATGTGTTTAGTTTCTGACACAAAGGCGATTCCCTAGTTAACAACCTACTGTGGGATGTAATGGGTTGTAGCAATTGATATCCTCAGTAGGCTGTAATGAAATGTAAATGATTGGATCATTTGGATGAGCAAATGAGCTATGATCTAAACAAAAGATCAGACTAGACAATCTGTAAAATTTTCCCCACAGCCAGTCATATATCTACCTTAATCTGAATTCTTAACTATGAGTACTTAAAGTGCATACGTGTCAGGTCAAACGTAGCAGTTGAAGCCTGAAGATTGTGTGACACTGTTTGGTTTGTGTGCAACACTTCCATTCTGCATGAACTTAAGAACTAGCAACTATCCTTGTTTCAGCAAGTGGATTCAAGACTGTGAGTTGAGCTGTGATCAGTTGCCGACTGTGATGAGTGGTGTAGCATTGACTTACTACTGATACTTTTTTTAAAATATGCACACATCACCCCATTCACTGTGCATTATTTTTGCTTGAATGAAAGCATCCACATCAAAGGAAAAACAAAAATATTTAAAACTAGCCAGAGTGAAGCAGAGATTAATGTTTTTAAATACAATATGCTGCTTTCTTATTAAAAATAGAAGGCTTTTTTTTTTTTTTCCCAAGTTTGCTTTATTCTAGGCAGGTATGAGGATTCAGGATACACATTTCTTTTTCCTTTTTTTTTTTTCCCAGTGTAGGTAATATTTTTAGGAATCATTTGTAAAAGTGCTGGAACAGGCATGTCAAAATTCACAACTTCCCTTTGCCGCCTTGATGACCAGCATGCTACCACATGCATTGAAATGCTGGGATACTTGCAGGGTGGCTTCCCCAGCTGCTAACTGGGAAGAACAGCTGCTCCTTGTGAACTGTTCATTGCTCGGTGGCCATTTGGGCCCTTCACCATCTGCGTGAGCCACCCTGGGTTGCTCCCTCAGTGTGTGTCTCTGCAGCAGGGGACTCAGGAGAAGCCTGCGGTGTGACAGCCAGCCCCACTGTTCTGGTGTTGGCCCAAGTGGAGTGCAGTCCCTAAACTCCTCTGATGCATCCAAGCCCCGAGTACGTAACTCAGGGACCTCTTGCAGCAGCCACACACAGACCAGCACCTGTGGCAGGCAGCACACAGAGGTCATAGGTTGCACATGAAGTTGGTGTGTGGGACAGAGCGGCAGGGGGATGGTGAAGCAGAAGTGCTGGTGCAAGACTAAAATGAGACTACAGAACTGCAAAAGAAGGGATGGCTCTGATCTGATTTAGAAGTTGTGTGTGTTTTTAGGATATTTTCTCATCTATCTGCTGTAAAGTTGTAACATAATTCTACTAAAGGATTCCAACCATAGTTCTGGAATTTCCATTATTGTGCTTGGGCGTGGGGGAAAAAACTCAATCGGCATATTGAAAATACGCTGCTGAGGAAAGGTCTTTCAGATTGACATTAAAATATTAATTCAGCTGCAGTATCATGCAGCATTCTGGAGGCCAGTGGTCTTCAAACTTTTTTTGATTGTATACCCCTATCAGTAAAAACTGATAAGAAGTGTGT